ATGTCCCGGTGGTTCCGTGGTCTAATGGCGTGATATTTATACGCGGTTTCATGAAGGTGCGTACGCTAATTCAGAAGTTACACATACATAGAATTCGTGATACCGTAATTCTGTTTTCCCTTCTAAAACGAGGAAAGAGAGCTAAGTATTTTATAAATGCAGTGTTTAGGATTTGCTTAAAAATAGTAAATTTCATGAAATCATGTACTCGAATGATTCGGTTCTTACAAATTTGCAGAAACCTTTTCTGAAACACCCGGAAGTGAGGATCTTGTGTTGTTACATAGTAATTTGATGCTTTCAAATACTTTTTTTTTACTTGCTCCCACTGTGGAGCACAGGGCTGATTTCTGAGTTTCGTGATCATTTTTACAGACGGTAGGACTCCTTGGACGGGTGATCAGCTCATCGCAAGGCCTCTACCTAAACACAGGACAACACAAACACAGAATGAACTCTCACACACAAACCAAACGTCCATGCCTTGTGGAAAGATTCGAACCCACGACTCCGGTTTCCGAGCGAGCGACGACACTACATGCCTTAGACCTTGTAATATATCATTAACAAATGCATAAACAGTGTGGTCTGTTACAAGATGGTATTTTATTTAACAGTTATTTTCTTAAGTATAAATGTGTAAGATTTGTGTGACCTTAGTAGTAGATGCCCGGTACCAACGGGAATGGATGATATAAAATAGTCCACAGTACTTGGAAGGAACCGTAACAATTCTAGTATGCGCCAAAAAAAACAGTACTAAAATGAAAAGACGAGCAATATGACCTTATTGTCATCTGTGAGTTTATTTCTCCTGAAAGAAAGTAACATACACACTATTAGCATGTTGATTTACCACGGTATGCGTAATGTAAGTTTTCAAAGTGTGCACCGCTTCACTGTAGACAGTGTTCATATCGTTCATGCAGAATCTCAATCATCCCGGAACAAATGTTGCTGCAGGCTCTGGACGATAACTTCGGAGGACCACGCATTCCTCAAGAAATCTTGATCCTCGTACACCATGGCCAAAAATGTTCCACAATACACCATCCTGGCTCGCATATCTGACTCTGTCAAGCGTTGTCCAACCTGTATCCGGTACGGAAATCCACCTATGTCCTTAAATAATCGGCGAACGGACGTATCGCTGACGTTCTGTTTCAAGGCCGTTCGTCGTAAACTTCGTCGGGGCGAATGCAGCACTTGCTGAAGAACACCTGCGTGATTCTCTTTTGTCGGAACAGTTACTGGTCGACCAGACCTTGTACTGCGGCGACTTCTGGCCTATTGTACCAGCCCCATATGATAGGTGAGGGTGATTGTGGAGCAATTGGTGGAATGAAGATTGACAGGGGATTTTGAAGTACTCGGAGAAAACCTGCCCTAGCGCCACTTCGTCCACCACAAATCCCACTTGACAAGACCCGGGATCGAACCCGGGCCGCAGCGATGGGAAACTAGCGACTAACCGCTTGAGCTATGGTGCGGCCTTGAGAATATTTTAAGAAAATTGTGTATTTATATTTATATTTATGTTTTTGTTTCTTTGGTTAATTTCATGTAAATCTAGATCCACCATCATAGGTTCGCGGTTAGATCAGAGGCTCCTGTTTCGGAGTGTTTGCGGACGCTTTCTGCACGTTTAACGTGGTCTGTAATGTGTTTCGGAAGGTTTGCATTGTCACGGTGTAAGTAGCAGGGCTTGTACATAGGGGCACTGACCACTTCTGAGCGTTCCTAACACTACAGATGCACACCTGGAACGAGTTCTTGTATTGTGGTGAAATAGCGATTTTACCCTTTCAAGTGCTGACGCAGAAATACAAAAAATGTAGTTTAGAAATAGAAAATAAACATGTGTTTTTCTTTGCAGTTAATTTTTGGGTAAAAATGAAAACGTTCACATTCACGCCATATACTATGTGACCTGCACGTATCTATCCATATTCAGACACTGTAACGATACACTGGAAGAGGATGTTCAGATTTTATAACGCTAACTCCAGGTTACCGAGTCCAGAAGCCAACAGTTTGCAGCCACACAGAAATCCCCAGCATTTTATGGAACCCGAAGATTCATTACCGTGTTCACAAGTGTCGCCACTGGGCTCTGTCCTCAGTCAAATTAATCCAGTCCATACCCCCACTCTACTCCTCTAAGATTCGTTTTAATATTATCCTTCCATATACTTCTAAGGGTTCTTATTGGTCTGTTCAGGTTTTCCTGCATGCATTCATGTCCCTTGCATATTACAATCGTTGACTTGATCATTCCAATAATATAGGCTGAGGACTATCTATCTATCTATCTGTCTGTATATCTATCTATCTAAAAACATGGGTGACGGTGAATGGACAGTGTTACTGGAAAATGGGAGAACCCAACTGGAAAGGACTCTATCACTATCCGATCCTCAGCAAAGACGGAGACATTGCGTGGAGGATACTCCATAACAGCATTGTTACCCCAGAAAAACTACACCAGTGGGGAAGAAGAACGACAGCAGACTGCCCATGGTGCCCAGGGATAAAAGGAACTCTAGACCACATGTTCCTGGACTGCCCCGCAGTGAAAAACATATGGAAAGCCACAACGACAATACTCAACAAANTTCGAGCGAGCTTAAGACGTTTCATGCCATGACCTCGCGGTCACTGTGATTGCCATGCCTAGGCCTACGAATTATAAAGCCCCACTGTACAGTGTTCTCCAGCTTCTTGCATCATCATCCTTCCGAAGTCAAAATATTCCCCTCAGCACCCCGTTCTCAAACATCCTCAGGCTACGTTCTTCCCTGCGATCAACAGACAATATGCATGCTGCATTAGAATACTCGGAAATTAATCAGTTTAAATTAAAATCTTATTAGATTACAAACAATATGTAGTCTGAGTTTGCGGTACTCTGTATGTTTGAAACGTGATTCAAGTAACCGAGTCTCCATACTTTTCGGGGGGGAGGGCATCGTTAGCTGGCCGCGTGGAACTTGTTATTCTTGCCGCTGGCCTAACAGTGGACCTAGCGAGGCTGAGGAGCATAGCCTGTGAAGTTAATACAGCAAAATTGCATTCTGATTGCCGATGTGGCAGTGACTCCGTAAGTTTGAAAATACTGATACAGACAGGTCACATTTAACAAGCAGTGTGTTTTATTTGTCAATGCTGGATTACTTCCTAAGAACAATTTCAGCAGATCACACCGTTATATAAATATTTTATAACATTTCTCTAAGAAAATTGCTACTATTTTTTCCAGAATGTTGGTTAAGCTGCTTAAAAACTGTGTCTTTTTAAATTGGCCTAACCTCCTTGGCGAAGACACGTAACAAGCGTACATTACATACATTTCCCGTCGTAGCGTTACGGCATATACGTAACCGCATTCTGTATCGAATGTCATGGCCGAATGATTTGGATTTCTGAGTTCAAATCTTGGTCCGGAAACCTGGTGTCCTGAGTGAAATTTGTTCTGGTTATACTCAGTCACTTCAGGCAAATGGCGGCATATTACCACGTCCTTTTGAATTCAGTATTCATGATCACCCTATCATACGACGCTACGTGATCGTAGCTACTGACAGCATTATTAAATGAACCATAAACAGACAAATATTATACGGAAGAGAGTTTGGAATTTGCGTCCTAAAAACGACAGAGCTATATATCCTGTGGCGAGGAAACTGGATAAACACCTGAAAGCTCCTATTCCTATCCTCAGTGACGGTCTCTGTTCTTTCCGTGATAGGCTCGATGGTTTAGAACAGAGATCGCCAACCGCATGCCTCCAGGCTCCTGGTGCCTTCAGGAGTGTTAACGTAAAAAAGGTAAAGTGTAACTGATCAAACACTACGTCATGAAGACGTATGGGGGAATGGACATATTCTCGACCTCGTCACTAGTTGAAGGTGAGTGGTCAGCTTTACGCTCCGGCCACTTTGCTTCCTAGAAAAATCCCTCATTACCCATTGGATAGGAGGCTGGATGGGGCCCAGAAGCGGTCTGGACAACACGGATAGGTGAAGAACCTTGCCCTTACCGGGACTCGAACTTGATAATTCGACCGTCCTCTTCAACTGTACCGACTGTACTATCCCGGCTACCGTCAGGAGGGTTGCATAACTTTGTATCCATGTATGTATGAAGTAACGTAACCGTGAAATGAGAGCTCTGAAGTTACAGAGTTAAGGATTACCACAGTTAACGAATTTTCGAAGGTTAATAAGTTGCATGAACCCAGGTTATGTAGTACATCATTAACGATCGAGCAGTCTACTGTTTCTAACGAGGAATGGAGTTCTCTGACTCGACCTACAGAAAATAGGATCCCTATATTGATATTTTCAATTTACCGTTGATTTTCACCGGCCATTCTGTAATTAAATTTTAATTTCTCAATCGTTTTGTGATGATAGGAAGCCACACAATGATTCCCACTTCATGAATATCTCTCTTCAGTATGTCTTAGCTTGTTGTCCTAAAATATCCTCAATCTGTGCTTTTTCCGCAGGGAAGGAGCACAAGTTTCTGAACCGTACGGTGCAACAGGTATTGCTATAGTTTCTTTAGAGTTTAGTCTTCAGGATTTGTGAGGAAGGCGGAAAGACAGAATGTTCTGAACTGAACAGTGGCAACCATTCCACGTCGTTAACTTCGTGAATGAAATTTTGACTTGTAGCTGTCTCTCCGAAATGTTTGTTCTGTGCCACGTGAATGGTGCATGGTAAGCAACTTCTCTCGAGCTCCATTAGTGTCACATGGGATCCTGTCAGGTTCACACCGTTTCTTACGTTTTATAATGAGAAGCGTTACAGGTTTTCTTGTGCATAAAACAAAATGTTAAAAACGTCAGATCCTCTGAGGCGCGACGTCATCATACTAGTACAGTTACTGCACCTCACTGCTATTGGCCCAGACCAAGCCTACGTCATACCCTCCTCCTTGCGGATCTTCTTCTGTTGCCCCCGTTTCCTCCAAGCGACCGTCAGATGTTGCTCAGATGCGCGGGTATGCGCAGTGCTGTGATGGTGTTCTTTTGTAGGATGATGTGGAGTGACAGACTGGCTGTTATTCTGCTGCTACTGGCTTCGATGCGTGGTGAGTGTGCTCTTGTATTCGTTAAGTAACGGTGGCTACACCGTCAAGTCGAATTTTCCACGCCACTTAAACGCATGCATCGTGCGATGATTGGTAAATTTAATACAATATTGATTTGAAATTCCCTCACTGGATCTTCTCATTCTTGTGACGACTTCAGGAAAATGTGTAAATCTCTTGCATCTGCGGAATTGTAGCGCGTGTGGAGCTTACAGGAGGCTGGAGAGAATTGCATGTTGAGGGGCTCCATAGTTTACATAGTTGATGAAACGAAGAAATGCGAGACGGATGAGAAATGTAACACGCATGGGCAGATGATAAATGCATGCAACACTGAAGTCATAAGAACTTGAATGTGAAAGACGGCTAGGGAGACTTAGGCTCATATTTGAAGATAATGTAAAAAAGTAAAGCTATCCTTCTAAACAGGCCATGAAGGATTATAGGGTTGTGAAACGCTGAGGTTCCCACATGTTCTCTAGATAGTAGGCTCACAGACGGTGGTGAGGTTGTCAGCCTTACGTGCGGACAGACCTTCACCCCCCGGGAAGATTCTTGGTACTCATTTCTATTAGAGACTGAGTCTGTAAGGTTAGGTTAATTGAAGAAAAAAATCCATGTCATCGGGACACGAAACCGCGACTTTCCTCCTTGTAGCATGTGCCTCAACCGAATACACTACCGCGTGCTACATTAAAAAAGGATGTTAAAAAATTAAGTGTGTGTGAGAACTGCATTCCACTGGCCAAGGATATGGTAATGAGGGCCGCATAAAAGCGGGTAACTTGTTGTTTAGGAGAGTGGCGGTTAGCTTCTCAATGAGTACTCTGATCCTTGCAGTATGTCTTATACAGATGCAACAAAAATTGAAACATTTATCTTAATTAATACTGGCTTTGTAAGACTCATATAGCAGATGGGCTATCAGAAATATCTACCGATTCTCTTTTACTTTCTCCAGATTAAGTAAGAGAGATAATCCAAGTAGACTTCGGCAGTGTCTTCAACGTCCATTACCACTCTGCATTCAAATAGCATTATTTATGCCAATGGTGCTGTATTTCTGTTGATACCTTTGCTAATTTTTTAAAATTTAATGTCATTTTGCCGTTCATCGATTAAATTTGAATATACAATTGAATGTAAGTCTTTCGAATGTCATAACTAGACCAGATTACACTATACTTCCATTAAAAAACAAACTCCGTAGCTTTAGCCCGCAAGCGAACTATACCGACCGAACTACCGCCGCTTGTCGGCGAAGTTAGTACCAACTTTAGCGGATAGAGGGTGTCGCATGGTCAGCGCAGCAAATTTCCACGGCCGTTAGTTTCGGGTTTCTAGATCAGAGCCGCCACTTTCCCATTCAAGTAGCTCCTTAATTATCATCACGAGGCTGAGTGGACCCCATTCCAGAACCACTACTTCTCAGAGAATCTGGTAGCGCCGGGAATCGAACTCAAGGCCTCTGGGTCTGTAACCAGAAACTCTGACCACTAGACCACAGAGGCGGTCCCAAAATGAAGAATAGAAGAAAGCTGATACCTTATAGCCTTTCTGCAATGGTCGCCTGCAACACAATTGTACTTAGGTGCACAGTGTACACTTAACGCGCGCGCTCGACCGATAGAATTATAAATAAAATAATCGAGACTGCGATAAACTCGTAACAAGCAACTATTCACTCTTAAGTGGTGATTACGAAACTGGTGAGAAATTAAAAAGTACCAGTATTGAACGAATAAACAACCAGTATCAAGGCTTCATTGTGCACTGTTAGGACACGCACTAAACGGGAATTACACATAAGCGTCCCTTGATTTCATTCGTAGGGTAAACATTCGTAAATCGAAAATTAAATTCCCATATACGTTTACGCGTAAAAGTCGCCGAATTGACGAAAGTAAGTTATGCGCTATAATAAAAGTGAACTTCGTTAAGTGAAAAGTAGGTACAAATGAACACATTTCGTTGTAGCGAAAATTCTTAAAACGAGGAATACCTGTATTCATAAATTTGTTAATGTTTGCTTCAAAGTCATACTGTACTAGAGCACAAGTTCATTATTTACTATCATCCAGTCATTCAATATTATACATATACTTGTATTGNTATTTCTTAATGTTTGCTTCAAAGTCATACTGTACTAGAGCACACCTTAAATCATGCCACGATCTCTTCCTTTCACGCCATTTCAAGTTCATTATTTACTATCATCCAATCATTCAATATTATGTATATATATATATATATATTGTCGTCGGTTATTCACAGCACCGCTAAGTAAACTGCGGTGTACAGATAGAAATACGATTTTAACGCACTATAGGCTTTATGAATACTTTATATTGTTGTTTAAATTGCGACTGTGTTCAGCTGGCCATTGTTGGCTGTTGAATATGCATGTTCGGAAAAGTACCCGTATCATCCCCTCTACTAAAATTATTAGTAAAAGCTTAAGATTCGCGAAGAATTTTTTTGGAAATAAAATATGTATTTCCTATTTGAATAAAACTTTTGTTCGGAGCATTTCTCTCTACCGTAAGTATTTGACGAGATACGCGCAGAAAAACATGGAGGCAACCACGTAAAAAGGTCGGTACACTTGTCCGATTTAACTATAAATTTAATTAGTTCGACAATTCTTTCACGAAACTCTCCAATATCAAATTTCGTGAGAATCCGTCCGGCGGTTCTCGAATCGTTTCCTGCGAACTCGATACGTAGACTTCCTGCAGGGTTGCGAACGCGGCAAAAAGTGATCCTGGCCAAGCTGCTGTTGGGCTCTCATTTGTTACTTGCTTGTGGACACGTTGATCCGTGTTCGTGCTTGGGGAACGGATGGTGATTCAATTTGAGGAACTAGGCCTCGCCAATTCAAACCTGACTTGAAGAAACCAAGTAAATTCAGGTGCTAAATCCGCACATATGCATCACAACGATAAATAGTTCTGGAGATTTCTGTCTTCTAGGAAATAACGCCGTACAGTCCGTTGGAAGTCAAACGACGTTTCGAAAGAACATTTTGCCCCTATCTTCAGTGTCGAAGTATAGATCAGGCAAGAAACCAACATGAAGCAGGTAGCAAACACAAGCTGCCCTTTTTATAGGTGTCTGGCTACTGTACCTGTTTCATGGTGGTTTCTTGCTTGCTTTAGTCTTCGAAATTGAAGATGGAGGTGACATTTTCCTCTGAAACATAGAGTAACTTTCAACGGGCTACACACATTATATCCCAGAAAATATAACTCTTCATAACCACCTCTGTGAGAACAGAAAATCCTATATAAATAATTTTTATTTTGAATCTGTTATCTGTAAGCAATTACAAGATGCGCATCTTCTTTATTTCTTAAGATGGATATTAACGACTCTGCCAGTGTGCACGCTGTATAGCGTCGATGCACGTTTTAAGTCCCCAAAATGATATTATATCACGTTTCTCGAAAATTGCAATCCCATACAACTCGAATGCAAATCTCCATACCATTGGGTCCTACAGAGAGCCAGTTCTGTTCCGTTTACATTTTCACGTGCGTTTTCCTAAAATCCGTTTTAATATTATCCTCGCTTTTACTTCCTTTCCCAATTGGGCAGCTTCTAAGATGCTTCTTCACAAAATTGGATAACAGTTTCAAACTGTGTAGTAGAAAACATCGAAATGGTAAAGGTAAACGATAAAGCCATCGCTTTAACAGGCCGTGAAAGCCCATAGGGTTGTGAGACGTCGAGGATCCCACAATTTCTTTAGACAGTCGGCTCACAGATGGCGGTGAGGCCGTCCGCCTTATGCGCCAGCCGCCCTTCTCCCTCCTCCCCCAGGAATATTCCTCGTACTCATTTCTGTTAGAGGCTGTCAACCCCAGGGCCATAGTGCGGCTGGAGGGATTAGGTCAATTGAAAACTCCACCTCATCGGGCTTTAACCCGCGACCTTCCGGCTGGTAGCATAGTGCGTCAACCAACTAGCCACCGCGTGCCCCCATTTTCGAAACGTACTCTTCTAATTTCAATACATAACTAATTTTGTTTTATCCGTCATTTAAATTTTAAAACTTTGTAAAATAATTTAGTGCAAACCTGTTACTATCGACAGTCATGTTATGATTTTGGTACTGGTTTGTTTTTGTGTGTTGCTCGTATATATGAGTTACATATTTACTTCCAGATCATTATGTGCAATAGCCTATGAAATTGTTTGGAAGTTATTCTTTATATTATTTAATTCTGTTGCAAGAAATTAACCGCATCAACATAAGAAGTGTCTGATTTAGGTCATTGAACTCCGGCTATTATGATTTTCTTTGACTTTTATGACGACATTATCTGGAACAAAATTGAACGTAAGATCCTCTTTGCGCATGTTTTTTCAGCTTTTTGTTGTGGTCTCGCTACTGGGTCCACGTACTTTCCTTAACACTAAATATTAAACTAAAATATAAACACAGGCTGTTGTTAAGATACTGAAATATTTGCTCAGACATGCATGTCGACGGTGGGGGTTATGTTCAGTGTAATGCTGTGCTGTATCGGCATTCAGCGCCACCTGACGTGCCTACACCTTGAGGCAGAGAGTACCTCGTAGTCACGGTTGGCGAAACACCTTCCCTCCGCTTAAAAATGCTACAGTTACAGCATCATTTAAATCGGAGGTTCCCCTGCCACACGCTGAATAAATAGGCCTACTGAGGTCTAAAAATAAAGGTAAAGTTATCCCTGTGCTTAACTAATTAAGCACTACGCCATGAAGGCGTATGGGGGAGTGGATGTATATATATACATTTTCTTGACCTCGGCACTAGTTGGAGGTGCGTGATTAGCTTTACACCCCGGCCGCTTTATCCCCGGTACCCACTGGATAGGAGGTTGGGTGGACCCCGGAGCCAGTCTGAACGACTTGCAGAAGACAGAGGCGAGAAAATTGTGGCCATGAGCTGTGCCACGATGGACAGGGGTCCTGTAACCTGGGCTATCTGAATTGGGTTCTACAGGCAGTGCGAA